TAAAGATAGGAAATAATATAAGAAGTATAAATACGAATTGAATGCCAATAAGGCAAATGTCTGTGGTATGTTAATTTCTTAAATATTTAAATGTTAAATGCTGACTGACGTTTTTCAGTCCAAATGTAGTCCATTATTTATGAACTGAATTGAGGAGGGATTTTTACCCGTTAGTTTACGATCATGACAGTGAGAGTGAGCAAACGGCAGATGTGACGGTCAGCAGGGGATGCTCACTCCTCTATGGCACCTGATCCCACCTCTGAGGTTTCGGAGATCCGTGTTTGCTCTGTTCCTATTTTGTATTGTTTTATGGACTTTGAGATTAAATACTGTTCGTTATTTCCATATCCGTCTTTCTATCACAACGCTACCGAGAACTGATCGAGTTGATTTGTTTCCTCTATTAGGAACGTCGAAATTCTAATATCAAACAAAAATCTTACACTGACATAAATATAATATCTACGTCTGTTGCCCTCTATGTCGGCAGCTTTGTTTCATGTCATTTATTGTTTTTGTTCATATAATTAAGCCATAACAGATTGGAAGTAACAGTTTGTTCCTTTTTGTCTCGCCTGCGACGAATGTCGCGAAGCGAGACATAGCGACCATAGATTCCGTCGTCGTCGTCGTCGTCGTCGGCGTCCAACTTTTGGTTAACCCAAATGTCAAAGTTTTATAAACTGCAATAACTTTCTCAAATTTTATTCAGTCTTCTTGAAATTTGGACACAATATTCAGTATGGATAAAAATTTATATCCCAAGTATGATTTTGAAAAAAAAAATTCAAATTTTTCCGTATTTTTTCCTTAAGTTGGACTTAGTTTTTTCATGATAATTTATGGTGAAGACCTATATTCCAGCAACTATAAGTTATAGGGATATGATAATTAGTCAGTGGATACATCATGGGTAACCACAAACGTCAGTACCAGAATTAGGTCATCTTGACCTACATTTTTCTGCATGAGTGACTTTGGTTAAATTTTTGGTGGAGGTCCATATCTCAGCATCTATAACTTATAATGGCATGATGATTTGTCATTGTACAGGTTATAAGTAACCAACAACATCAGTACCAGAATTAGGTCATTTTGACCTACATTTTTCTGCATGAATGACTTTGGTTAAATTGATAATGGAGGTTCATATTTCAGCAACTATAACTTATAGTGGCATGATAGTTAGTCAGTGGATACATCATGGGTAACCACAAACGCCTGTACCAGAATTAGGTCATCTTGACCTACATTTTTCCGCATGAGTGACTTTGCATAAATTTATGGTGGAGGTCCATATCTCAGCAACTATAACTTATAGTGGCATGATAATTTGTCAGTGGATACATCATGGGTAACCACAAACGCCTGTACCAGAATTAGGTCATCTTGACCTACATTTTTCCGCATGAGTGACTTTGCATAAATTTATGGTGGAGGTCCATATCTCAGCAACTATAACTTATAGTGGCATGATAATTTGTCAGTCTACACATCATGGGTAACCAACAATATCAGTACCATAATTAGGTAATCTTCACCTACATTTTCTGCATGAATGACTTGATACATATACAGTGGATTTGATTTCAAAATGCAAGTTCAAATTATTGCGACTCATAACACGTTGCAATATTCGCAATAATAAAAACATCACAATAATTTGTGAATTTACAGGGTATATGTATATATATATAAATGCCAATATAATCGCCAAGGGATTAGATATTAAGTCAGCTGTTCCATTTCTTTATTATTGTATTTTTGAGTTATTCCTTCTGAAATGTCAATAAATGCTTCAGTTTATCAGACAATCATTTCTTACTAACCACAGCGACAGCAGGCGAGACACAGGGTTGCGGGCAACCCTTACGTACTTTTTTTAAAATAATAAACGCTAGGTGAAGAAAGAAGTTCTGAATGAAGAATTCATCAAGATGTAATTTTTTTCTTAGATTCGCTCTCTTCCAATCAAAACACAGGGAATCAATAAATAAAATAGATTTTGCATTGTTTTATGGAATTTTAATCTTGAAGAATGTTCGGGATATCCATAATCGTCATATGTTTCACCAACGCAGAGCTGTCATTTAAGATTTATTGTAATTGTAGATCTAAATGTTTTTGTGTCTCTATATTTTTAAAAATCCTCGAAACAAAGATCTCATTCCTTCTAAAGAATATTATCCTGACATTACACTATTTGTATGTAAAATAAAAGCCACCTTGATCACACTTTACTCACTGAGATGATGTCAACAACTAGTTTGACACGCAATTTCCCTGTGCAGCATTGTTAAGGCTTGAAAAAGGGGGTGGGGCCTAATTTATACTGGAAAAGTTTACTGAGACGTCACACAAAAATATGACTTTTATGTATTTTTCATATAATACCTAAAAATGAAATAACTTGCAACTTTTAACTGTATTAGCATAATAAACAACAATGTAACTTATCAATGCATTAAAAAGTTGCTAGTTAAATCCCATGTAGCTGGTTATAAACAAAGCACTGATCACGATGAACTTGTAAACATGACATCATATTGGTGACAGCAGCACTTTTCAGAAACTACAAAGTATGTAGAAAAAAATTAATAGCTTGAATTTTTAATTTCAACTAGGGTATGCCCTTGTGATATTGAAATTTGTTAATAACCTACATTCAGTACGCAGCACAGTTAAGGTTACAGTAAGGAGGCGGAGCCTAATTTGTACGAGAAATGTTTACTTTGACGTCACGCATAATATAAGGTCTTCAAAATACCACAAAATGAAATTATTTGCTATTTCAGACAGCTGGATAGCTGTATACTACATACAAACTTACTATTACATGCAGTTTTGTCGTTTGTTAAATTCCACACAACAGTATATAAACGATGCATCGATCGCAATGCACTTGTCAATGTGACGTCATCTCGCAAAAATGACGCAGTTTTTACACAATCAGAGGCTGATCAAGTCACATTTTTTACAATGACAAATGCCTTTTATTCTCAAATAAAAATATTATTTGCGGTAAAATAAAAAGCCTTTAACTTGGATGCGATGTTTTTTTTAGTATTTTATTCATTAACTGTACGTGCATTTATCAGACAAGCGATACTGCCGTGTGTTTGTATGCAGATTCATTGAAAAAGAAATGGAAGGGCCGTAATGAATCGATTTATTGCAAGGGCATACCCTCAATGTATCTTGTCAAAATTTTACACATAAACTCAAGAAGCATAAAAAATATTTGAAAAGTGCTGCGAACCTCTTGAAATCTTGCAAATGAATTAATTATAGCTATATTCAATGTAGTTGACCAGCAAAATATTCAACCTGCCGTCCAACAAATTAAATTTTACCAATTAAAAAATATATAGGTTCGCAGCACTTTTCATAATTTACATATAGTGTTGAAAAGGATGATAAACTTAGATTTTAGCTTGGTTATGCCCTTGCAATATTGAAATTAGTAGATGACCTCTAAACTGCAAGTATGATTGCCAAAGTCATTTGACGTCGACATCAAATGACAAGTCTAAATAAAAAATCTAAATGTCCCCAACATGTAGATTTTAACCACATTACCTTTTTTTGATATCAGTGAATTCCTAAAAAGATACGCATATCCTAATAAAGTATGTATTTTTTATCTTAACAAATCGCCGATATTTCCATTTGTAACCTTAACTGTGCTGCGTACACGAACTATGCATTCATCACGTGACTGTCCATCGATAGGACTAAACTTCGTACAGTACAGTGTGGGTTATACTATGCTATTTCTATAAGTATTAAGGTGATGTTGGCCATGCTTTTTTTCCTTCTTAAATCTGTTGTTATCCAATCCTACGCTAAAGGTCATAATTTTAACAGTTGAGAAAAGATTGTACATGTCTTTACCCTATATTTGTCTTATTTTGAATATTTTGTATTTTTATGTTGACAAAAAAAACCCTTCATTTAACCCTCTATTGCCTTGAAATTCGTCCAATGGTTCATGAAAACAAGTTTACAAAAAGAAAAAAAGACAGCGATAGATGGGCGGATTAACAGGCAGACGGACTGACGGACGTGGGTGAATGTTCAGAAAAGCTCAATTAAGCTTTCAGTGCAGGTGAGCTGAACACCTGAAGTCTTTTCCCGTCTTCGCAAAAGCTATCTCGGGTAAATGGGTTGATTTAAGTATGTGTGTGTTTGTGTCTGGGGTGGGGGATATTAGTCTGACTTTTAATGCTTCATAACAGTTTTGTGCATGGATTCGCGTTTTTGATCAGGAGTTCGAGGTTTCTAGGGGGAGTACAGAGTCCCTACAACTTTGTTTTTAAATATTCATTTAAATACTAGGCAAATTCAGGCGAAAAGGCAGTTTATTTTATATAATTACAATTAGAAATTGGTAAATGGGGGAAAAGCGTTTTTTTTAATGGGGTATTTATTATTTTAATATGAATACATTAAGACTTGCAATCGACAATGTAATAGTCGAAATCATATTTTAACTAATTTGTTTTATGTCCATTGCTAACAACATATAGACAAAAATTTAAAGACACACTTTAAAGTGCCATCTATAAATCCTGTGCAATTTCACCCGCTCCATTCGTGGTCTTTGAAAAAATGCTTTGATAGAACGTGATTAAAGATATAAATATAAAATTCAGCAAAAAAAAATAACCAAGGTGTACTCATGTTTGCCACAGATCTGAAGCGCGAAAAAAATATTGCTCAGTAAATTGCACATTTTTTGCATTACGGGATCTGAAGCGTTATGATCAAAGACAAATATATAAAACCATAACGCTACACATCTGCAGCTTTACTCATGTGAGAACACTAAGCCAAAAACCAATTTATCGTTCCTGTCATAAAATGTATTGTTGCAAATTATTTGCAGGATGAGGGGAGGTAAAAGGAATCAAAACTCAATAAAGTGATACATTCTTATATAGCAATAATATTGTTTTTAATGGAAACATGATAAGTTCTGCAAAGACTATTGCTACCTTTAGGAAATTCATATCGTCCAACGTTCTTCGTTTTTGAATCATAACCGTTGATATTCACAGCATTCCCAGTGCATGTTTTGCCCTGATCCCGAGCACATGTCCTGAAACGGGTTTGATAATAAAACTTATGTAACATAATAAATGTAAAATTATAAGCAGAAAATAAATTACAACAGTGATGCATAGTTTAAGTATATAGATTCCTGGTTACTTAGGGATAGCAGGATGCAGAAGAGACATCACGTTAATTCTGTTATTACTCAACAAAAAAAGAAACGCATATTCATATTAAATATGAAAATCTAAGTTTTCAGTTTAATCTTATTTTATTAAAAGTGATTTTAGAGTGTGTTCAAATAAATATAAAACGTCCTATATTGGAAATTGAAAAGTCAATTTGATGTCACATTCATCACCTTCATCTATTTTATAATTTACAATTTAAAAGTAAGGGACAGAGATTTTTTCAGAAGCCCGTGAACTGCATATTTTTTTTCTTTTTTTTTTTCATTTTTATTTTGGATTATGAAGCAAACGTTCATAACTCATTATGACGTTGACAACATTTGGCTCCTTTTCCCCTGTATAGTGACAAAGTATGAGTGTATAGTGACAAAGTATAAGTGTATAGTGACAAGGTATGAGTGTATAGTGACGTAGTATGAGTGTATAGTGACAAAGTATGAGTGTATAGTGACAAAGTATAAGTGTATAGTGACAAAGTATAAGTGTATCGTGACAAGGTATGAGTGTATAGTGACAAAATATGAGTGTATAGTGACAAAGTATGAGTGTATAGTGACAAAGTATAAGTGTATATTGACGAAGTATGAGTGTATAGTGACGTAGTATGAGTGTATAGTGACAAAGTATGAGTGTATAGTGACAAAGTATGAGTATATAGTGACGTAGTATGAGTGTATAGTGACGTAATATGAGTGTATAGTGACAAAGTATAAGTGTATAGTGACAAAGTATGAGTGTATAGTGACAAAGTATGAGTGTATAGTGACAAAGTATGAGTGTATAGTGACAAAGTATGAGTGTATAGTGACGTAGTATGAGTGTATAGTGACAAAGTATGAGTGTATAGTGACAAAGTATGAGTGTATAGTGACAAAGTATGAGTGTATAGTGACAAAGTATGAGTGTATAGTGACGTAGGATGAGTGTATTCTGACAAAGTATGAGTGTATAGTGACAAAGTATGAGTGTATTGTGACAAAGCATGAGTGTATAGTGACGTAGTATGAGTGTATAGTGACGTAGTACGAGTGTATAGTGACAAAGTATAAGTGTATAGTGACGTAGTATGAGTGTATAGTGACAAAGTATGAGTGTATAGTAACGAAGTACGAGTGTATAGTCACAAAGTATGAGTGTATAGTGACAAAGTATAAGTGTATTGTTAATAAGTATGAGTGTATAGTGACGTAGTATGAGTGTATAGTGACGTAGTACGAGTGTATAGTGACAAAGTATGAGTGTATAGTGACAAAGTATGAGTGTATAGTGACGTAGTATGAGTGTATTGTGACAAAGTATGAGTGTATAGTGACAAAATATGAGTGTATTGTGACAAAGTATGAGTGTATAGTGACGTAGTATGAGTGTATAGTGACGTAGTACGAGTGTGTAGTGACAAAGTATGAGAGTATTGTGACAAAGTATGAGTGTAAAGTGACGTAGTATGAGTGTATAGTGACAAAGTATGAGTGTATAGTGACAAAGTATGAGTGTATAGTGACAAAGTATGAGTGTATAGTGACGTAGTATGAGTGTATAGTGATAAAGTATGAGTGTATAGTGACAAAGTATGAGTGTATTGTGACAAAATATGAGTGTATAGTGACGTAGTATGAGTGTATAGTGACAAAGTATGAGTGTATAGTGACAAAGTATGAGTGTATAGTGACGTAGTATGAGTGTATAGTGACAAAGTATGAGTGTATAGTGACAAAGTATGAGTGTATAGTGACAAGGTATGAGTGTATAGTGACAAAGAATGAGTGTATAGTGACAAAGTATGAGTGTATAGTGACAAATAATGAGTGTATAGTGACAAAGTATGAGTGTATAGTGACGTAGTATGAGTGTATAGTGACAAAGTATGAGTGTATAGTGACAAAGTACGAGTGTATAGTGACAAAGTATGAGTGTATAGTGACAAAGTATAAGTGTATAGTGACAAAGTATGAGTGTATATTGACAAAGTATGAGTGTATAGTGACGTAGTATGAGTGTATAGTCACTAAGTATTGTGACAATGTATAAGTGTATAGTGACAAAGTATGAGTGTATTGTGACAAAGTATGAGTGTATAGTGACAAAGTATGAGTGTATAGTGACGTAGTATGAGTGTATAGTGACAAAGTATGAGTGTATAGTGACGTAGTATGAGTGTATAGTGACGTAGTATGAGTGTATAGTGACAAAGTATGAGTGTATAGTGACAAAGTATGAGTGTATAGTGACAAAATATGAGTGTATAGCGAAAAAGTATGAGTGCATAGTGACAAAATATGAGTGTATAGTGACAAAGTATGAGTGTATAGTCACAAAGTATGAGTGTATAGTGACGTAGTATGAGTGTATAGTCACTAAGTATGAGTGTATTGTGACAAAGTATGACTGTATAGTGACAAAGTATGAGTGTATAGTCACTAAGTATGAGTGTATAGTGACAAAGTATGAGTGTATAGAGACAAGGTATGAGTGTATAGTGACAACATATGAGTGTATATTGACAAAGTATGAGTGTATAGTGACGCAGTACGAGTGTATAGTGACAAAGTATGAGTGTATAGTGACAAAGTATGAGTGTATATTGACAAAGTATGAGTGTATAGTGACGCAGTACGAGTGTATAGTGACAAGGTATGAGTGTATAGTGACAAAGTATGAGTGTATATTGACAAGGTATGAGTGTATAGTGACAAAATATGAGTGTATAGTGACAAAGTATGAGTGTATAGTGACGCAGTACGAGTGTATAGTGACAAAGTATGAGTGTATAGTGACAAAGTATGAGTGTATAGTGACAAGGTATGAGTGTATAGTGACAAAGTATGAGTGTATAGTGACAAAGTATGAGTGTATAGAGACAAGGTATGAGTGTATAGTGACAAAATATGAGTGTATATTGACAAAGTATGAGTGTATAGTGACGCAGTACGAGTGTATAGTGACAAAGTATGAGTGTATAGTGACAAAGTATGAGTGTATAGTGACAAGGTTTGAGTGTATAGTGACAAAGTATGAGAGTATAGTGACAAAGTATGAGTGTATAGTGACAAAGAATGAGTGTATAGTGACAAAATATGAGTGTATAGTGACGTAGTATGAGTGTATAGTCACTAAGAATGAATGTATAGTGACAAAGTATGAGTGTATAGTGACAAAGTATGAGTGTATAGTGACGTAGTATGAGTGTATAGTGACAGAGTATGAGTATATAGTGACGTAGTATGAGTGTATAGTGACAAAGTATGAGTGTATAGTGACAAAGTATGAGTGTATAGTCACTAAGTATGAGTGTATAGTGACAAAGTATGAGTGTATATTGACAAAGTATGAGTGTATAGTGACAAAGTATGAGTGTATAGTGACGTAGTATGAGTGTATAGTGACAAAATATGAGTGTATAGTGACAAGGTACGAGTGTATAGTGACAAAGTATGAGTGTATAGTGACGTAGTATGAGTGTATAGTCACTAAGTATGAGTGTATAGTGACGTAGTATGAGTGTATAGTGACAAAATATGAGTGTATAGTGACAAAAAATGAGTGTATGGTGACAAAGTATGAGTGTATAGTGACAAAGAATGAGTGTATAGTGACAAAATATGAGTGTATAGTGACGTAGTATGAGTGTATAGTCACTAAGTATGAGTGTATAGTGACAAGGTATGAGTGTATTGTGACAAAGTATGAGTGTATAGTGACGTAGTATGAGTGTATAGTGACAAAGTATGAGTGTATAGTGACAAAGTATGAGTGTATAGTGACAAAGTATGAGTGTATAGTGACGTAGTATGAGTGTATTGTGACAAAGTTTGAGTGTATAGTGACAAAGTATGAGTGTATTGTGACAAAGTATGAGTGTATAGTGACGTAGTATGAGTGTATAGTGACGTAGTACGAGTGTATAGTGACAAAGTATAAGTGTATAGTGACGTAGTATGAGTGTATAGTGACAAAGTATGAGTGTATAGTGACAAAGTATGAGTGTATAGTGACAAAGTATGAGTGTATTGTGAATAAGTGTGAGTGTATAGTGACGTAGTATGAGTGTATAGTGACGTAGTACGAGTGTATAGTGACAAAGTATGTGTGTATAGTGACAAAGTATGAGTGTATAGTGACGTAGTATGAGTGTATTGTGACAAAGTATGAGTGTATAGTGACAAAGTATGAGTGTATAGTGACAAAGTATGAGTGTATAGTGACGTAGTATGAGTGTATAGTGACGTAGTATGAGTGTATAGTGACAAAGTATGAGTGTATTGTGACAAAGTATGAGTGTATAGTGACGTAGTATGAGTGTATAGTGACAAAGTATGAGTGTATAGTGACAAAGTATGAGTGTATAGTGACAAAGTATGAGTGTATAGTGACGTAGTATGAGTGTATAGTGACAAAGTATGAGTGTATTGTGACAAAGTATGAGTGTATTGTGACAAAGTATGAGTGTATAGTGACGTAGTATGAGTGTATAGTGACAAAGTATGAGTGTATAGTGACGTAGTATGAGTGTATAGTGACGTAGTGTGAGTGTATAGTGACAAAGTATGAGTGTATAGTGACAAAGTATGAGTGTATAGTGACAAGGTATGAGTGTATAGTGACAAAGAATGAGTGTATAGTGACAAAATATGAGTATATAGTGACAAAGTATGAGTGTATAGTGACAAAGTATGAGTGTATAGTGACCGTAGTATGAGTGTATAGTGACGTAGTATGAGTGTATAGTGACAAAGTATGAGTGTATAGTCACTAAGTATGAGTGTATAGTGACAAAGTATGAGTGTATATTGACAAAGTAGGAGTGTATAGTGACAAAATATGAGTGTATAGTGACAAAGTATGAGTGTATATTGAC